ATGTCTATTCATAAAATTGTGTGAAAATTCAGCCACCAGTCCTTAATCTACTGGAATGACCTAGGTTGATACAGCTTTTACTCAATTGATAAAATGCGTTTAATAGGAGAAGTCAAGACGCCCGAATTTGGCAGCAGATTCGGATAATAACATCAACGCTGCGTGCAAATGTGGCGGCTAATAAGGGTCTTCACAACTAGAAGGTTATATTTCTTTGTATTATGTTAGGCTCTGATTATTTCGACGCCTCGCAGATACGAGACCTGAGCTCAATCGGCTAAAGTAGTCACTGGTACTGTGCTATAAAACCAAATGTCCGAGCGGGCATGAGGATACCTTTGTTACATGCATATTTACTAAATTGTCTTCCAAGCTGGAAAACGGCGTAAAGGGCGACACAAGGGTCACTCAGTTGGATGCCACGCGGATTGGACGGTCGAACGTCAGACGAAGAGGGTGTGCTAGAGAGAGTGGGGGCAAAGCTATGTGAAAGAATTATATTTGGTCCTGAATGAAGCAGGAATGCTAGGCAGCGAGGTACACGCCAATTGGCGGCGAACGACCAAACAAGTGGTCGTATAAGTGTAAAGGGAAGACACCAGGTAAAACCAGACGAAATGAAGGACCTTGCCGTCCAAGCGGTCAGAATAATAAGGAGCATACCAAAAGGAGCAGACCTTTAACCATAAATCTGGTGACTATATGCCTATCCAGCATCTCATTAATGCGTAAAGAGTTTAAGTTCTCGCAAGGTAATTATCGCTACTTCAAATAACTGCTTGTGTTATACCCCATCTCTTAACAAGAAATTAAATAATCTTTGCCATCGCTTTAACAAGTTTTGACCCGGTTATACATACAGATGCCTGATAAAGAAGATGGTCTCATCGGAAATTTGCAATAATATTCTCCAAATTTTATAGGCAAGTCAATTTAAAGCCTTTGAAATATCATGTCTCCAAAATACTAGGATTATGTTGCTTCTACAATAAATCCACAATTTGGTCAGGCAAGATTTTTACCGACAATTAGAGTTATTTTAGATAATTCTAGCAATGCTGTGCGTTTGAATTTTACTGCTCTATTCGTCTATATCCAGGAAAAAATTCACCACTTAGAATACAGACTAAGGGACATCGAAGTAAAGTGATAGATCAAAGCGAAATCATGGAAATGGTAAGTATTCTGTACCGATATAAGTTTGGGTTTTGATTCGTAACGTTACTAAGTTATTTTTCGTATTTAAGTAGAGTTTCGAGACTACCAGTGATTCAGTAATGCGAGGTGTATTCACCCTATTTCGTTTAAGGTGATAAAGGACTGGTAGAAGAATTTTCCCACAATGATATGAATCTCACACAGCCTTGCTTTACCAAAAGTTTATCTCATCCAGGCTGTAATGGACTGCAGTTTCGACCTCGCATCGGTCTTATCAACACCGCCAGCGGGAGTCGAACCATGACAGTGCAGCGTGAAAACTCGACACGTTAACCACTCCGCCACATTGTCACGAGTGTCCTTGGGTCACAGGGCAGATGTGAATTTAAGGCCAGCCCTTTTGCCATTTCATATTCTTTGGTGGGATTGTCGATGAAGCAAACGCATATTTGCTATAACAATCCACTACGTTACTTACTTTTTGTATTAAAGTAAAGTTTTTAGACTACCAGTAAATCAGTAATATGAGATGTATTCACCCTATTTCGTTTAAAGTGATGACTGTTACTAAGTTACTTCTAATATGGGCCCATGTTAATAGTTGACCAAGCCTCGTGATGGTATATAATGCACAATTATTTATTTAATCCCAGAGCCATAATCTCAAGGCAAAAAGATTTATTTGGGAATAAAGTGCACGAAGGCCTTTAATTTCAAGTATCTATCCTCAAGGGAGCCATGGATTTCTTTTAATTTATGTGTTTGTTTTATCCAATCCTCTCAAGACTTTATGATAATTATAAGTGAAATTTTCACTAATCATATATTAAGCATTGACAAAATTTATGGTTTGAAGAGAAAAGTTTTATTTCTCTCATTACCAAATAATGTATTAAGGGCAGAAAGTCTATCAATACACTATGTAGACAATATAAATTTTTTTTTCTCTTTTTTAGGGGAGCAAGTATAAAATGAAATGTTTGAATATTTCATTCGAATTTGTGAACAAAAGGGAAAAATTCTTCATCCGGCTAAGAAATGATCTTTCATTTAATTTATCCAGATAATATATTTTTGAGCCATCTTATGACGTATTTTATTAATGCATATTTTAATTCCTGACAGGAAATTGATTCTAGTAAGTGAATAACTCTATTTCGTTACTTACTTTGTCAATTGACGGATATACCCTGGCCCTATGTTGGTAATTTTATAATAAATTGAAATTTAATCCTTGTAAACTTACTCTTGGCTTCTCAAAATTAACGTAAATATAAACTGTTAAGGGTCTTGTTTCTAAATATTTATTATAACATGGCTTATAGCCCAAAGACTTTTTGCCATTCGTTGGACATTTTTGCTTGAAACATATATTAAGCTAAATTTTATGGTATGCCTCGCGCCCCCTCGAATCTATTCACCTATTGGCTGCTGCAGCAACAGAATGTTAGCGTAAGATCTATTCTAGAAATTTAGAGGCATGAGTGCTGTATTCGTGAGAAGGAATGTATGTAAGGAACTCGTATGCTGGTTTCGCTAGATACTGAAAGGAGCTTAAGTTAGGATTATCCTATAAGTACATCAGCTTGTCCTGTTTGACCCTTATCAAAAATTAGGAAGATTACGAATACATATGAAAACATATGTAAAATTAATAAGCGTTAAATCAGATTCTATTCGAGGTCCCATTTGATGTT